TTGAAGACCATGATAAGAAATAAATTAATAGTATTGTAGGATTTCTTCACAACTTGAAGACTGATAAGAACCAGGCTATTATTCACAGAGTGTCTTGTTTATGACTAACACATTTTACCAGAGTTTTATTCAATTGATCAGACACAGTAGATATTAATTATATAGCGGCTGAAGTACAAGAATAAAAGAAATATATCCAACCTAATCACTAAATACAAACCCAAATTGGAAGAAATATTGTAAAATATGAATTTGTGTTGTAAAGTGGGTAGTAAAGCATCTTTGTGTGTCTGAAGAGTAAGACATAAAGTCTCCTTCCTTTTGATAGACTAGGAAGATAAAATTCTCATGACAGGAAGAGAGATGGATTTTTACATTCTTTAGTGCCTCTGGTTGATCTTAAGGAGATGGGCAACACTATGCAATGAGGGAAATTTACCCAGGAAAGTGGCATTATGTATCGATAGGTTGTTCCCTTGTGGCGTGTTTACTTCTAGTGTGTTCCCTTGTGACATGCCACAAGGACAATAAACCTTTGTTTTACTAAGTGGCTGTTTCCATAGGTTATGCTCAGGGAACTCAGGCCTCATGCACGGAACATGTGGTCTTGTGACTGGGAACATAAACAATGAATTTGTCCCTTCTTTTGCTGCTGCACAAGAGGGAATACACAATTGCAAATACATAATTGAATAGATCATCACCAGACTGTTTCAAGGTCTGGGAACTTGTGTGAAATTCACCATCTCTGTTAATAAATGCAATAGCGGCATCCTCTTTATCCTTCTGATTTTCAGTAGTTGGGTTCATCAATAAGCTATTAATAAAACAACTGTTGGCATTAATACTTGTGTCTTGTGTTTATTTGCTTCTCATCAACGGTCGTATGTAGAGTATTTTTGTCTGCTGATGGATAGAGAGTCGGTATTGGGTCAGGTTGAAAGGGAACACTCCACAAGGGAACAGCCTATGGATATAGGGCCTTTAAAAAGTACAGTTTAGAACACACTAGCCTCAGAAGAACTACAATCATGTAACTTATTTTTCATGTCAGCCTCTTTGACCTGCATCACTGAAAGGGTAAAATTTGCTACAAGAGTAACTTTTTTGGTTAGGATATAAAAATAGATTTTGATTATAATCCAATTTAAGAAAAATATTGGCTGTAACCTTCAGAAAGGTTGAATATGTAACATGAACAGAAATCAATGATTGAATTGGATTAATTATTGGATAGATCTATTACTGGTGGTTAGGTCTACATAGAATTACTAGTCCACAAGGAATTCCTATTGATTCCTCTTGACTTTGGTACACAATGGATTGCCACTTGGAACTATTCATTGACCATCTGAGTTATATTGTTAGTATTGAGAAATAATTATTTTCAGTGTTTTCGATGCTCTAGAGATTATATTATATAACTTGTTGTTGTATTGCTCATGATATGTAAAGTTATGATCTGTTTCAGAAAAAAATCCTGAAATACATTTTTAGTTCTCTTAACACTGGCATCAGTTGCTTACGAAAAGTAAATGTTTCTGTCTTTCATTATCTTTATCTTGCAATAAGCTGTGCTCACCGATCCTTAAGGAATTTTCCTGGAAAGGTTTTGCTGAAAAAAATTTGGTTGAGAATCATATCTTTATGGTCTATGATTTGCTCTATATCTAGATAAGATTTGGTGCTAGGTAATAAGAGAACACACTTCTTTTGGTGAAAAGCAAGGACATGGACATGGACATATGTACAAAAGTAACTGATGTTCATTTATCATAAGTTCTTCTAGTACTGCTGATACATATTGGACTAGAACTGTTTTATCCTTTAGTTTCCAGACAGCTACAAACCAGAAAAAAAATCCAGAAATTTGGAGAGCCCAAAAAGTTGCTATGTCTTTGGAATGTAAGGATTAAGATTAATTGAATGGTTTGTGACACCGTTTATTTCTCTGTACAAGGTTCCATTAAACTTGTGATGACTTCAGGAAGTCTTTTTGGTTTTGAGAGTGTCCAGAAATTACTTTACATAAAGTCTTTCCAGTTACTCCAAAATTACAAACCATTATGTGAGTTTTCCAATTTATATCTAGCAGAATCCATGTTTTTTTATTATTTGTACTGTTACATAAATATTTCAGCAACAACTTGTAGTTACCTGCATCCAGCATGGCTATTGTTATCTTACTTAAAGTTTTTTATCTTTCTCATGATGGTATCACAGAGTAGATAAGTTAGTTAGATGTCAATATAGGGGTAGAATAAATCGATATTGTTGATTAGATTCATTAACAAACTAATTAACTCCATTATACTTACTAAATTACATTTCTTTCTTTCACTCAAGAAGACAGATGTAGGTAGTATAGTTTGTCACCTACTATCTATTGGTTTCACCAGTTGGAAATTTCTGTTTCAATTCCAATCAATATGGTACTCTCATTAGGGGAATTCCCTGTAATATAGTTAGCATGAATAAATTATGACTGGTGTATTCATGTATAATAAATAGGACTCACTGCTTGGTTAGTTGGACCATAGTATTGATGATATTGGAACCAATAAGTACAGGTATTATGCAGTTATTAGTTTGTTTAGCTTCAGTTAATATCATTTCATTTGGTGTCTGTATCAGGAATATGGTTGTCTCTGTTTATTGATAAAGAATTGTGGAAGGTGTCAAAAGTAAGTTTATATTAATATGCAGGCAGTCAACGTTTGAAAGACCTTGAATAAGTCATCTTTCCTCATTGTTCTAACCCAGCTGTAAATGGGTACAATAATCCTGGAAAGATAAAAAAAAAAATGGTTGTTTCTTTCTTTTTTTTCTGAGGTGCATTATAATTTATGGTCAAATAAATTTATCTTGGACTTGGTTATTTTTATCTTTCAGGCATGTTTTTCTCAAATTAACCCTAGTTTCCAGATGATTTAAGTCAATTGCTGACAGAATTCTCTATACTTTAATGTCTGGAGGTTAGAGTAATAGCTTTAGATCTTTGTTTTCAAACAATTCTATTTAGAACCATAATAAATTGCATTTTCATTATAGATTAAGTCTAAAGCATTTTGATTTTTCAACATTACAGACAACATCATAGATGTAGGTTGATTTACCAATTTCTAATAGTATTTTGGTATTTCAGATTCATAAAATAAAAATAGGCTCATCTATCCATAACATACTGATATTTCATTAATAGATGCATGTAGTTAAAAATCCAATCTATCCATTTCGAATTCTGATATTTCATTGTAATAGATGCATCAAGTATACAATTAAAAAAAGGAAATATCTATCTGTTCATTATTCTGATAGATAATTACAATAGATGCATCAGGGAAAGCCTATAAAAAGATTCATCAAGAATAGGACTTAAAATGCATATCTTTCCATTTATTATTGAGATATTTCTATTTCATTTTAATAGATGCATCAGGTACACGCTTTAAAAAAACTATAAAAATGATATTACTAATTGTAAAGATTTCCACATCAGTGATTGACATCTCACTGCATCAGTAACCGTTTCACTGAGAATTGTAAAATACAGCTTTATTGCCAAACACGTTGCATTTACACTGAGTTTAACTGGTTCGTGAACGACTTTAGCCTCGATCACAAAGATGCACATGATTGACAACTCATGATGTACAAGACTACTTTTTAGACCAGTAAATAATGCAATAGACCGAAAAGACCAGTATGCCTCCTATTGCAATACGAGATAAAGCTGTTGTTTTGCATTTTCACTTGTTAAGTTGATAAATTTATGAACGATAAAATAGAGGTTCTTGGTTCCCGAACCGTAACGGTTCAGCAATTTGGGTCCTGTATTTAAAAAAAAAACTTGATCAGATTATGATGTCAATGATGCTAATATTATTTGGTTTGAAAAGTTTTTGAGATAGAAACATGAGAATCTGGTTTGCTACAGTTTACAGGAACAAAGATATCTGAAGGAAAAAGTTTTGTACTCATAAATGCTGTAAGTGTCTCTAATTCACATACATAGACCACATCCCTTTAAATATAATGACATGACCTTACACTATAATACTTGTTTTCTGTAAATATAATGAAATATAATACACAGCACATGACATCACATATTTCTATTTGTAAACAGTTATATGTACATACAGGCAGGATTTTTAATACTTATGTGACAAGATGTTTATATGAAATAGCATAGTTAGGTTAAAGAAATTGAACTGAGATAAATATTCTTTACAAAATTTTAAAGGTTTTAAGATATATATTGAAAAAGGGTTCAGTAAAGAGACTTGATATTCAAATAAAAGTAACTATATTTTAATTGTGTTTACATTTAAGCTATTTTTTTACTTTTTAAAAAAAAATATAACCATGGGAATGTGATATAGAAAGTTATTCTTGTATTCAAATGATATATTAAGAAACAATGCTAATTTGATGAGTTTGCAGTTTTCTGAAATGTATTACTTTTGAAAGATGTAATACTGAACCTGATTATTGTGTCAGTCATTAGTTCTTTTAGCTGAACCTAAATTCTTGTTTTAAAATGTTTTTGGATCATTAACTGGTAGCTTGCCAATGAGAGTATTGTCAATGACTGTTGACTTGCTAGAGAACACAGTTGTATTGTCACAGCTAAGAGCAGGTGGTAGGAAATGAGATCTTTAACTCTCCAGTTTCTTAAAAACACTTGTCTCTGAACTCAACCCAAGCCATACAGATATGAAGATTACAAGAAAGAGCTAATTTTTTTAGTTAAAAATATGCAGAAAACAGTGATTAATCTTGTAGTGCACTTATGAACATTGTCACAGAAAAATATCTTGAGATATCTGGTTAGAAATGCACCATTCAAGTATATAATTTGGAAAGTGGTATTTATTTTCAGATGCACAAATTTGAAAATATCTTTCAACATGAGAATGTGTGACAGCCATAATTGAAGCAGGACCAGAATTTCATGATTTAAGATTGTTAAAAATGTTACTTTTTCTATTTTTCAGGTTCAAATCAAGTTTTTATAATATAAAGTTGAAGATAACCATCTTTTATAATGGCTAGTTTTATAGCTAAACAGATGGTTGGTGATCAACTGAAATCAGTTAAAGGTATGCTTTTTTTCGTTAATGGTTAGAGCTCAATTTTAGCTAACTGGAACACTAGTCAACATAACAATCTGATGTTTGGTTTGTCAACGATCTATAACAATGCTCATAAGTGATTTTGATTTTAGTTTCCAGAATGTAATTAGTGTTATTTATCCTTAAATTGATAATAAATGTTGGAACCTGACTACTATGGAGGTCAATTTGAGTCATTAATCCATTCTCAATCGATTTGTCTAATTTACTGATTCAAAGACAAATGTAAAATATCTTATTACCTATTACTTATAATTCAAACAACATAATGATTGAAATGCTAAAATCAAATGTTTATATTCACATGTAACTTAACTAAAGTCCTTTCAAATAGTTTATTTAGCATCTTCCAAAAATCTTTAATGATAAACCACCGTCCTTTTTGATAAATATCAGAAGTTTATTTTAAACTGTAAAGTGTCATTTGTAAACTGGAAAATGTTTGTAGTAAAATGATAAGTGCAACTTCTTTAGTGTATTATGTCTTCTGTTTTATCTCAAATGAATTATCTTTTATGCAAATTACCAAGGTCGCGACCCTATTGAATATTCAGCATTGCTACCTCATTCTTTTGAACAATGGTCACCTTTACTTTTTAAATGTCCAAGCACACTACGATAACCTATGTTGGGGTGACATTAATATATGATAATTATCAGAAACTAGTAACAGATATTATGGCACCATGGCAGTTTACAAATGTTTCAAAAAATGTACCAATAAACTATCATAGTAATATATAGAACTCTTCAAATTTTTATTGTAAGGATTTGAAGTTTACAGGAATATATCGGTTGTTGAAGTGGAATAATATATGCCTCCAGTTACATAAAATTAAAGCATCATTAGTGAAGATATCAATTTTATTCAATTTCAAATCTGTGTGTGAATATTTTATCAAGATCTGATTTTCTCACCCTCTAGGCTTCATATTTGTTAAGCATACTATCTTTACAGATTATTTCCACATCTATTTTCACTGTATTAAACAATAATTTCACTGAAAATTAATAACCAAGCATTAAACATTTGAAATTTATACTTGAAAGATTTCACTGCAATTTTGAAATTGTTTAAAAAATGAGGTTGAAAAATTCTCTGATGAATCTGAAGATTTCAATAAAATGCTTTTAATGAACTTTTAATGTCTTGTTGAATAAAACAAATGATTAAACAATAAGATTTAAAATCATTTTTACGATGCTTTGAACATGTCTGACAGGATTTTAATTTGAATGAATTTTCAACATTTCAACCAAAAGATTCTGCTAGCATGTGGTCAGTTATAAATCTTGTAATATGACCAAGTCACTGGCAACTAGCCCCTGTTTAAGTTGCTTACTTACTGCACTGTTTGGTTTAAACACATGCTAAAACTTAACATAATCCTGAAAGGACAATGCTGATGTTATATGCAACAATTAAAAACTATCAGAATATGAATGAATTTACCTGCGTTATAATATATTGATAGCCCTTACGTTATTTAACTATAGGAGCATTAGGTGATAAGGAAGGAGATGAGGAGAAACCAGAAGGGGCAGAAGAAGGTGAAGATCCAGAAATTACAGCAGCAAGATTAGAGGCAGAAGAAAAAAGAAAAGAAAAACACAGGAAAATGGAAGAAGAAAGAGAAGAAATGAGACAAAGTATTAGAGATAAAGTAAGTTGAATTAATGACTTCTCATACAAGCAGACCCTTGTTTCATTTTTAAACGCCCACATCTCTCTATGTGGACGTATATTGTCTGCACCCCTGTCGGTCTATTCAGCTTAAATCCCTACTGAATTTTGACAAGTAGTAGTTGTCTTCAAGATTGCACTTCAAGAAGATGTAATATACAACTTTTCCCAAATTAAATATCAAACCGGGAGTTTGCTGAAGTTCTTCTTTATTTTAAACTTGAGCTTTAAGTTCTAGATTGTCTAGCCATATACATTCTATTCAATGCAACATTCCACATTGTTTGTGGAAAACCAGCTTTTGCTTGTGCTTGGCTTAAAGTTAACCTTTGGTACATGCAAAGACTTGAAAAGTAGTAGGAAACTTGTTTTGAATACCTTTAAAGTCCATGTAGTATAGTATAATATGGGTTGTATAATTGTATTTGCTCTACAAACAGGAGCTTAATAAAATTCTTACCTATTCAACAACACAGAGTTTCAATAGAAATTATTAGAACAAAGACCAGGATATTAACCTTGGCTTATATTCCACATACATATTGATTTCTTTTTATCAATGATGAAAATTAACATTAAATACAGTGTAATTTGAAGACCTATGTCTGTTTTCATCTCATTAAGGATATTATACTTGACTCCAGTGCCAAATTATTGAGTGATATACCAGGAAGGCTTGCAGAGTATTTCATTGATATTATATGATTAGAAAACTACATGTAGGCTCTTTGAAAATTAAGTATAGACTATGGAACCCAGACATGTTGGAATTTATTATGCTCTTGATAAAAAACATGTTAGTTATGTTGACATTGTGACTGTAAAATAGAACAATTGGCTTTCTGAACCACCAAATTGACAGTTTATGTAGTTTATAGTAACAATTTGGACATTTCCTTTGATTCACTGTTGAAGTTTCCACTACAGAGTTGATTATTATAATCCTTTTCTTGCTTATAAACAGATGGTTTCATCATCTTTCCACAAAGTAAATTTTGCAAATCAATAAGTTTTTTTGAGCAAGCTTTTTTTTTTTTTAGAAGAAAGCTTGACATTGAATGCCAGACACCTTTTCCTAGTTTTTCAGTAAATGTCAATTTTGTATTTGACTTTGTGGGTTCATTATTGCATATATGAAAGAATAAATGTTAATTTGAGCATAGCATAGTTGGCAATTGAAGCTTGAATATAGTTGTGAAAATTTCCTATTCAGTTTAAAGGCAGTTACTGAAGCTTATCCTGACTAGGGATGTCATAATATTCATATCAAACTATAACATTATAAAAGACTTTGTAACCTTTAGTTGGAAATGCTGATTTGTTATTGTAGTATGGTTTAAAGAAAAAAGTCAAAGAAGAAGAAGCAGAACCATTAGCTGACCCTGGACGAGTTGGTCGAAAGAAAAAAACACCAGCAGAACTAGCAGCTGAACAAAATGCAGAAGAAGAAGATGAAGATGAATTTGCAAGTAAATTTTCTTCCCTATGTTGTTGTATGAATTTTGTTTGATTGAAGGGAAAGATTTAGTTATTAGTTATAAAGTTATTAGAGATAATATTACTAATTAGAGATGATATTTTATTATAACTCTGTGTGTAGTCAAGTATAAGATGGTATCATGATTAGAGAGTTATCAGCAGTGATTGGAGGATTGGATCTGTGATTTGAAAAATATCCCTATTTATTGAGATATTCTGATCAGCAGGCAAGATTGGAAGAAAATGTGACAGCAGGAGAACTTTTATAATTTAGTTATCTACATGACATAGATCTGGTTGCCATAGTAATCATTATATTTCACAGTTTTACTATAATAAGTAGTCTTAACTACACACAAAGACAGAATCCTTAGTAATTTCATTTCTTCTTCAAATTCTTCAATTATGAACCTCACATCAAGATTTAATCTTGAAATTAGAAATAAGGTCACCTTCATCACAGTTTCATCGAATCTTTTTTTATTCCTTCATTTCCGTTTCAAACCTACAATTTAACTCTATTTAATTTCCTACTGTAATTTAAAGGTTTCAGCTAACTCAGATAATTTAAATTGATTCCTCAAGTTGTAGTCAAAATCTTTTTCTATAATTGATATAAGAGGTGGTTTTAGATGGTTTAGGTAGATTGATTACTAGTTTTTCTGTACACTTCTATTGACTTTTATCTTCTCTTTCTGTCTAATTACATAGTATACAATGACAAATAGTTTACAATCTTTTCAAACTTCTAAAAGGTTTTAAACATTTCTTATCAGATTAATTATTTTGTTACATTGTAAATCAAGAATCCAATTCTATCATTAAAAATCATTTTTAAACTTCAGCCAATATTCATTTTCCATATGAAACCATTATTATTATTTCAGTCATAATAGTATCAGATTATTTATTGATATATTCCAATAATCATTATTTGTTCTCCTTTCTGCAAATATTATTTATGTGCAATTTAACTGTTTGCTCATCTCTCAAAGTGCTTTTAATAATGATATCATAATTCTAATATTCATTGTTTTGTATATAGACATCTATAATGACATTACCAATATATAATGACATTACAATTCAATGTTGTATTTATTCTTCTAAAGTTACATGATAGGTTATATTTATGCCAAATTGTCATTTTCACTGAAAAATTAGAGTATCAGAAAGTCATTTTTTTTAGCAAAAGTAGTTGTGAAGGCAATGAGCTCTAAGATCAATGACATTCAGAAAGAAAAGTTACATATTTTGCTAGCAATGAAGATTCTTTCTATTTCGTATATTTTAAAAGGGGTAGGCACTACGCAGTGAAGAAAATATCATATTGTATTAACTATAACTGCTTTTTTATGTTATTTATTTATTTTATTTTGTGTTATGATTTGTTGATATATGTTTAATTTGGGTTTCTACATGACATTAGTGTCACTTAAGGGGCTTTATAATTAAAGTAATTTATTAGAGGATTAAGGCATCCTTTTCAATAGTTTTCAAGCATTATTAATTTGAATTTAATTCTAGAATTGAATAAAAGAATATGTAAGAATGTAGTAACCTATATTAAACATTGAGTTCATTTCTTCTTCTTGCTTTTCTGGATATTTTGCAAAATATTATGAACATTTTTTACAATATTTTTCAATGTAAAATATTAGGGTATATAAGTCTATAGTGAATGGCTGATACCAAATGTTGCTAATCTGATTAAAATACATAGTTATTGTGTGTGGGTTACTTCACTCTAGACAAAATAGAGCAAAATATTCAGGTCATGAGAAGTTGTAACATTGGATTGTTCTGCTTTTTGCTCTACTTTTGCTTCATATTAATCATTTGATTGGATCAAAGATAGCTAAACATTTTTCAAGAAAAGCAAAGATCTAGAAGGAATGAAGTAACTCAGAGTACAAAAAATGAAATAAAATTTCAATCAGGTTAAAAGTTAGTTATATTAGTTCTTGATACACACATTTATTTTTTGTTTGTTGCTATTTTTTATTTTATAAAGGTTTTTTCTTTAGTTTATTTTCTTTTTGTTGATTTACAACATTTTCAATCCGGTAGATGATTCATAAACAGAAGAAGGTTATTTGTTAATATTGTTAATATACCTTGTTAATATTTGTAAATATATTATAATTTATTAACTTGTTATTTGTGTATAGTTGTGAGTTGTCTAGGATGTAGAACCTGTTCTTTGAACTTAAAACTAATTTTAGAAATAAATTACTTCTAACTAATATTTTATTTATGTAATAATTTATAATAGAATTACATGTTTTATGCTGTTCTCAATTTAAAGTTCATGATAAATGAATAAATTTTTTAAAGATATAATAAAATATATAATATTAATCTTTAATATCCTATCCTTTGTGGTTAAATCAGTTAATATAAAATCTCAAACAAACTGTGTTGTCCCCTTGAATGCTTTTAACCTTTGGAATGCTTTTTTTCAATCGCTTAATGATGGCTGTGATTTTCCCCTGCATTGTTTGTTGTTTCCTTCTGTTTTCCAGAATTCCCCTCAAATTTAAGTGAGTTGACATCTAAAGTGAGTGAAATGCCTTCTAAATTGGCTCAAGGTGTAAGCGATGTTAGTGAAAAGTGTGTTCTGCAGTAATAACATTCATGTAAGTTAGATCACGTATAACACCTTACCCTCAAACCTGCAACCTGCTTGTCTTTGTTGTCACGTGTTGTAATAATATAGTCTTGGTAGTTTTACGCACAACTTTGATGGAAATCTTGATTTACTGCATTTATCAATCAGATCAAATTACAACTACTACATTTGATTTCTGAATTTTGCTCAAAATGAAAATAGACCGACTTTTATGTCTAATACCATTACAATGTACTTTTGACAAGTTATAATAGTGGTGACATTACCAGATGACACTGAAACAGGACACATTGCTCTAGGACTTACGACTGGATTTCGGAAATTGGAAGAAAAATGTCTTGATTTGAAATGGAGACGTGTAAGTATTGAGAAGTGGTAGGAAATTTAAAAGGTTGAAATCACCAGAGGGAATATAAGAAAGTTGTCAGATAATACAGTCTACCTACTTATATTTAGATCATTGCCAGTCTTTACGCCATTTACATTTTCATAAAAGTGTAAGATTGACCTGACATGTACAATGAGTAGTAAAGAAAGACAGACTAATACAAAAAAAAAACATCACTTCTGACTGTTTTTACCATGTACCAAATGCTTTGTGTGCTTTTTGACTTTTGAGTTCAATATTTAATATTAACTTATGATTTGCTATCAGTATAAGGGAATTAGAACTGTATCTGTAAATTAGATTTTGTGTTACAACACCCACTAGCAAAACTCACTGAATGCTAAATATGCCTTCGTAGTGACATTACTTTAATTACTCAATACAAATTGTTTTATTTGATGATGTACCTGAATAACACTGCTTAAAGCACAGTATAAAGAAAGTAATATTGTAGCTGCCTGTAATATTGATGTTTTAGATTGTATTATAGTTGTGTGATCCTTGTATTGCATGAATGTTGTTAATTTAGCCAGAGCCAATTTAGAAAGTATAATCGATTATTTAGATAAGAGATATTCAGAAGGTAATATTAGATTCTAATTTTAGAGAATAGAAAATTAGCATAGATAACATATACATATTCTTTCGAATAAAACAAATAAAACGTAAAAAGTAAAAATGCATTAAATTTATCATACATTTAAGAAATATCTCATGATTTTAAAGGAATTTTATAAGAATAATTCTAGATTATTATCATGAAGTTATAAAATATTTATCTAAAAAAGTTTCAGAAAAAGTTTTCTGAAATAATGAATTCTTCTAATCTTCTTAATCTTTTCTTTTCCTCCCTTTCAGTTTTAGCCTTAGTCTTCTTATGCAATATTAAGGTAAGCAAGGCCCTAGAAATGAATACAATTTTCTTTGGCTTCTAGAGATTCCTGATTTGAATAGTGGGATCTAATAAATAGGGTATTTTAGAAATATTTTAGCAATAAATGACTTGAGTTATTAGAGATGTATATATATAATGATATAGGATGTAGAGAAGAGCAGTATTATCTTTATAATAGATACAGCAACAGTTACTTAAATAATACATTCAACTCTATGTACATACTATTTCTTATTTTACCTTCCTAGAGGAAATGAAATGCCTAATTCTGTGGTATTAGTTACCTGGACAAGAAATTATGGAATTGTACTTTAATGTACATTTAATGTTATCATTTTGGAAATTAGTGGTTCCTATTACCTATAAAGAGGCAGGCTTGGCATTTCCTTACCTGACAAATTCAACATTTCATATTGTGTTATGTTATAATGTGAGACAAAAAGAATACTTTTATAGTAGGTCACAAGAATTCAACATTAAAGACAATTGATAAATTTCTAGATAATTACGTTTTAAGGATTTTTAAGGTCACAAATTGTACATGATTGTATGAAATAAGGAGAAAAAGGGACAGTAGTTATTCTCATATGTCAAATTCTGCAACACTATGAAAGGGAAATAACTCTCATTTTATTTTTTATATTCTTCTTCAAATTTATTGATAGAATCAGATACATTTTGTTGTATTAGTGCTTACTGATTTACAAAGGGAAAACAAATTCTAGAACTACACTAATTTTATTGTGTAAATAGATCATGAGTTTGCAATATGACATGGTGAATTGTTTTTAGAACATATTTTTAAAATTTCATTTCCACTCAGGTTTTTATACTTTATTTATTTGCTTTCTAACTTTAATATAGTGTATTATAAAATCTGTTATTCCCTTCCTAGCACAGTTAAATATACAGCACAAAGGTTTCCCATGTACTCGCTAAATATTATAGTTTGTTTAAACAAGTGTTTATCGCTAATGCTTGTTTGATTGCCATTGGAATTTTAATTTCGTCTATCTCATATTGAAAATCTCCTGAATGAATGTTTGTCCTATTAACTTTGTACTTTGTATTTGACTGAAGATTTAAATTCGTAGCTTTCAAACAAAATCAGGTCACAATTCAACAATACTGCTGACTTATCTGAAAATATTACTTAAATGATGATTGATCCCTGAAACGCACTATGGTAATAGCAGGTTATTATATATTAAGCATTAGATCTCAACTTTATTCAATATTTTGACATTTAATTTGCATAATACTGTTGCTGTTGTATATTTACTTATAATTTATACCTTTATCTGAATCCTTAACTCTTGTTTTTCCTTAATGATTGTTTTTATTTATCAATTCTCATATAGATGACATTGTTACAGCAAGGAGTGATACACTTTATAATTTATCATTGTCATGTCCATTATACCCTAATTTGTTATAAAAGTATAAAGAAATTCCATACTTACATTACTTCTTACATCATTAGTTTATGGAGAATGGAGGACGGTAGCTCTATTGACATTCCAATGTTCCATGAAAATTTTACGAAGAATTCCAGCATAATTATTGATACATGGTTTTAGGTTGTAAAATTCAACCAAGTAATTGTCATTTGTAATTGTTTTAATTTTGTTCTATTTCTATTTTTACTATATACTTTGTGATATTCTGTTATTGTGTTTCCGAATTCCTTCATCAATATTATTTATTATTTGTGTACTTTGTACAGTGTTAATATTTATCAGTAATTTAAGAGAAAATTGTTAAATCATGAAATAAAGCTAAAAAATATATAATATTAGTTATTTTCTTTAATGTGCAGACATCAACAAAATGGAAAACTGGCATGGATTACTCTGAGGCCACTTTGGCTCAAGTCATGTCAAAAATTGAGAAGCTCCACAGTTCTCAAAAAGCGTTCAACCTTGCACATCTCATTCAAATTGAAAGCATTTGCAGCTTTTGTTTTTGCCACCAGTTCTACATCCAGTAGAATAGTTGATTCCATGTGGCTCAGAAATATATGTATTCATTTTCGAAAACTATATACAAAAGCTAGTCTCTTATAGAATGTCATATCTTAATACATCCCATAAACTGAAAAAATCATAAACATATACTACAGACATCACAGCGTGAATATATTACTACATAATTTTACTACAGACATCACTATTCCATAATTTATTACTAAATGCTTAAACATCTATAATATATTACTAAATGATTTTCTACAGGCATCATATCTATCATATATTACCAAAGGATTTACTACAGACAACACATCTATCATATATTACTAAATGATTTTCTACAGACATCACATCTATCATATATTACCAAAGGATTTACTACAGACATCACATCTATCATATGTTACTAAATGATTTTCTACAGGCATCACATCTATCATATATTACCAAAGGATTTACTACAGACAACACATCTATCATATATTACTAAATGATTTTCTACAGGCATCATATCTATCATATATTACTAAATGATTTTCTACAGACATCACATCTATCATATATTACCAAAGGATTTACTACAGACATCACATCTATCATATGTTACTAAATGATTTTCTACAGGCATCACATCTATCATATATTACCAAAGGATTTACTACAGACAACACATCTATCATATATTACTAAAGGATTTACTACAGACATCACATCTATCATATATTACTAAATGATTTTCTACAGGCATCATATCTATCATACATTACCAAAGGATTTACTACAGACAACACATCTATCATATATTTCAAAAAGGATTTACTACAGACATCACATCTATCATATATTACTAAATGATTTTCTACAGACAACACATCTATAATATGTTACTAAATGATTTTCTACAGGCATCATATCTATCATATATTACCAAAGGATTTACTACAGACATCACATCTATCATATATTACTAAATGATTTACTACAGGCATCATATCTATCATATATTACTAAATGATTTTCTACAGGCATCATATCTATCATATATTACCAAAGGATTTACTACAGACAACACATCTATCATATATTTCAAAAGGATTTACTACAGACAACACATCTATCATATATAACAAAATGATTTTCTACAGGCATCATGTCTATCATATATTACCAAAGGATTTACTACAGACAACACATCTATCATATATTACTAAATGATTTACTACAGACATCACATCTATCATATATTACTAAATGATTTTCTACAGGCATCATATCTATCATATATTACCAAAGGATTTACTACAGACAACACATCTATAATATATTACTAAATGATTTACTACAGACATCACATCTTTAACATAATTATTATATTACTAGATGATTTCTGTAGTAAATTATATCTATTAGATATTTCTAAATTATTTGCTGGTTGTTTTTTTCCTCCGAGCTATTGGAAATTTGAATGTGTTAGTAATATAAGCTATATACATGACCTGCATAACTGTGTCAGTCTGTATAACTGTGTAAAAAAATAGGACCCCTTAAATTCATTTCATTTATTCATTCATATAAATAAATTACAACATGACCTTTAAAGGAAATATGGGACATAACTTTTCCTCTTCGAACCTGATAAACATTTTCTTTCCCATGCATTTGTTGTCATAACTATGTTATGTGGCAAAAGTAGTAGTCGTTTACTTCATTCTCGATAGCAATTGTTTAAGTCTCATGCTGCTGAGAAACCGTTTTCTTGTTTGATCCAAGCCGATCTTACAAAGAGAAATACTTGAATAATATCGGGAATAGTCAGTATAAAAATGACTAAAAACAAGATGAACATTGCAGCATAGCCAACACATGAAACTGATGGTCTGTCATCCTCAGCACTTTTCTTCCTTCTGATGGTAGCTGACAATATTTCTTTTGGAATAGTTAGTTCAACAGTAATGTTGATGATTCTCTCGCGAACTATTTCAATTGTTGATAGATTTATATGTGGTATTGGACATCCACATCCAGAATCAATATGTGTTGTGGAAGCGTTTTGTTCCTGTAAAGTGTTGACAAAAGAAAGTCCAGTAGCTGTTTCAGCAGAAGAGATTGTAGGTGCTAAAGTAGTTGTACGTCCATCTACACAATGGATGAAAATATATTGCCATGATACGGGTTCCGTTTCAGAGGAACAGAACAATGTTATGTTAGAATTCGTTCGATCGCATAAACTTTTCATTTTGGAAACTGTTAAATGCACCTTTGATTCTTGCACTATTCTATTGTGATCTTCAAAAAGCCAAAGAAAACATTCTTGGAATCGACCATTGACATCTTCGTCATCTCGATACTCTTTTCGACTAGACAGTGGTTGAATAGGACAGTTTGGTAACAAACAATGTTCATAATCTAAAGAGGTTGAGTTGATATAACACCAAGTCTTGCTTTGGGAACTTCCTGGATTACGACAAAAGTTATGTTCATCTTTTCCATGAGGAAAGGTGGATTTGGGAAATTTTGGTCGGGCCTTATCTACCAATGGCCAGGCTTGGCAGGTTTTGCCACTCATGGAGACGTCCAGATTTCCAAGGAAATCGGATCCATCATCATTTAGGGAGCAAATCTTCTGACAACTTGGTATCGGACAATATTCCCAGATATCTGTATTTTCACTTATGAAACACCATGGAATTACCCCTACACCACCTGGATTCCGACAGTAGTTTTGCTTTTCTCCAGGCTCATCCAACAAGATACCCTTATGACTAATCCAACTCACGCATGATTTTCCTGATATTGTATGGGACTGGAAACCTCTATATTCGGTTCCAGATGCAGAACGCAAACACTCGAATATTCTGCCTGGGTTCCACTGATCACCAAATGCTCTAATTTCACAAAGGTCAAAATCCTCGAAATCCTCTGCGTTTGTGAAATGCATATCTATTGAAAAACCAACCGGATATGTGGGACACAAAAAAGTGTTTGTTAATGAAGATTCATGTTGATGAGGATTGATCTCGCAAGTAATTTTACCATTTTCCGTATTGACATCAACCAATAAATCTGCCCAAATTCCTTGATAAACGTTGCCTAGGGTAACCATAATCTCTCGGATTTCATACCTCTCGGTTCCCAATTCTATTGTCCATTTTCTGGAATCGTCGGCCGCATCACTCGTGCATGTTGAATCTGAGTTATCTGTGATCCTTACCACAGAATATTTCCCATCGACCAAAACATTTTTACCTTTTAGAATATTAGCTTCATTGGTACAGACAATCTTCTCAAAATTCCAGACATTGAAAAAAAGACATGTTGCTTGTGTTCCTTGGCTCAACATGTAGAAATTTGGTTCGCATTCGTATTGAGCTGTACTTCTGAAAAACGTATCATCGAATAACACCTTCGCCCCATAAACGAAATCTGGTCGTCCACAATCCACAATGTGTAGTCTTCCATAAATTTCAACATCACAAAGACTCAGCACTGCAGACCTGTTTTTATACTGTCCAATGATAGCAACAGATTGTCCGATAGCTTTACTGGAACAGTTAACAAGAATGGTCTCACCAGGGACGATTGAACCATCTTCTGGAAAACCACAGTTTGGTATTGTCCATGAGCTATGTACTTTCCGTAATGTCACAGAAATATTATCGGGAAGATCGATTGTGTTTTCTGGAAGCCGAAAAAGAATTTCACTAACTTCATAGAATTCATCTCCAGTTATTAGATCAAGTCGTATGGTTGGATCCATCATCTTCTCAGTCGTGATGCAAGTTGCTCCAGTTGCATCCTCGTAGTTTCCAGTTGGCGATAGGGTGAAAACGGGTGCATTTTCTGCCAAATTTTGTTGTGATTTACATCGTGCTGGTTCCCAGGTCCATCTCTGCATGTAATCATTGCACGGCGCGGTCATTGTAGTGTCAACTTGTGTATAATTTTCCCAACAAGTAAAGGTCATCATACTCCTCATTTTATTGTTTCGTTCTGTGTAGTTCACATAGGCACCGTAAACCATTTTAGGTTTGCCACAGTCAAACACACACACTGGATCTTCTCCGGTATATCTCCCGTCAATACAGGTTCTAGATAGGTTACCTGATAGTAAGATATAGCCATCATAACACGAATATTGAACAGATGAACCTGCGCTACCATTCTTCCAATTTCTGTAGACATTAGGAATAGGGGGTGGTTCGGTGCAGCTACCCTGCTGAAGAGAGAAGTTTATCATCCATATAACAACTATTAACCTCAATATCCATAATATATTCATTATGCCAATTGAATTGATACCGCTGCTGCTTATCGATGTCGATCTGGTCTTACTTGAGGCATTTTTACTTTGTTATCATATGAAACATTATTGGTTACGTTTTCTACATGCTAGACGAGTTATCCTGACTTAATATAATTCAAACATTATTAAAGACAATAAAATGTGATATTAATTCATTTTTTGTGTTTTTGATATGGATTAATGTGCAATAAGACGGTGATAAGAAGGTAAAATGATCTGAAATAATGAATATTTAATGATATAATTAAAGTCTGACTATTGAACCGAGATATATCAATATTGTTAAAATACCATTACTTCCCCTGTAATTATGGCATTGACATGTGATAAGATCATTATTGGCAAATGTCATCAGGTCCACACTTTAAAAAGAAAATACCATGGCTTGGATCTGAAACACATACAGGAGGGGTTGAAACATATAAGGTTGTTGTCTTCAAAATCTGTACATATCAGATGATAAGTGGTGTTTGGTATGATTGTTATATTAAGATTGAGATATTATCTGAGTTTGTATAAATGCCTCTTGTGCTCATTTTATTATCATTATCAGCTTATGTCAGCCAATATGCTCTAATCAATCTCAGTAAAACAAATATTTCTTATCGAGTCACTAAGACAGTGCCTTGAAAGATAGAAATGACTCAAAAATAAATGTTGATTTGCAATAAGTTGTTACTATACCCATGCCTAGTTCAAAGGTAAGTAGACCCTCACCTTTCTAGCATAAAGTAAAGGGGTATTCCCAACTAGGGATCAATAATAAGAAAACCAGTAATAAAAGTTTATTGAAACACTGTCGGACAACAATCTGTATCCCTGAGATATTATTTTTCAATCAAAACAAAAACTTAGCCTAAACCTATGGTTTAAGTTAAAATCCTTACTAGTTGATATCTAATTAATGATTTACATAACATGTACTAGTAAAAAGGAACAAGTCACTATTAGAAATGGTAATCTGCAAATTTGCTGAAAGCCGGAATAGGTCGACAAAATATCATAAGAACATTAGAATACTTGTTATCTTTGTAAATAACCATTAAATGAATATAATCTGTAATAAAAAAAATAATAACCAAAACAAATTAAAAAAAGATTCTCATCTTAAAAAAAACTTAAATAACAGTATTATTTCTATAAATATTTAAGAAAGTGGTTATCTTTCAATAAATATAAAAAATTTATGAAAAAATATTTAGTTTTGAGTGTGACTTGAAAGCTGTAATAAACATGGTTTTACTATCACAGAAGTCTGAATTATAAATACAATTAATATACAAATATTCAGCACTAAATATAAACTACTCAGATATATTATATACAATCTTATTATAATATATATATATACAAATATCACAATCAACAATAAAAAAAACCTTGTAAGCTAGTTTTTTTATCAAAATCATATAAGATTCCTTGTACACACTAAACATATAGAATTAAAGTCTAGCTAAGAATGGTGATGGTAGAAGAATGTGAGATAGAAGGCACAAAGTGATAGGAATATATGGTATACTAAAATCCATCACTATCTCCATCAAAATAATTTGGTTTTGATGCTCGAGTTGGTCTTAATTTCTTTTTAGAACTCTTAGGTCTTTGGGATGATGTTAACTCAGATGCATCACCATACTGGATACCTTCATCTGTTCGAGATCTCTGATAACCTAAAAACATAATATGATATAAGTAGGTATTGTCTTATTAAGTTTCTGAAAAGTTTCACTACTTGCTATGGTATCAACTTGGATGGTAAAATAATTTATTAAATCATTATAATAATCATTGAAATTATTTGAACTACCAGTAACTTACATATTTTAAAGTATTATTATCATGATTTTAGTAAAGTTACTTAAAACTTACCATAATCATCATCATCTTCATTCATACCAAGTGATGTTTTAGCTCTCTTGATTTCTTGTCTTAAATCTTTGGCTAATTTTTTAGCCGTTTCTGAACTTTCACCAGTATCTGATAAAAACGTGTAATAATGAAATCCTAGATTTTTTTATTTCAAACATCATTTGTGTAAGTAAAGTTAAGAAAACATGCAGAAATGTCTGATTTTCTATGATGAGAAACCTTGGCATTTTGAAAAAAGTAAAGTAAAGCTGAATTTGTTCTCTGGCTTTTCTTATATTGAAACAAGTATCTAATCAGTTTTCTAACAGCAACATGTTTTGTAAAATATATACTAACCTATAACAGCTGTATTGACTACATCTTGTATTTCTTTCTGAGACATATTACTAACAGCTGCTAACTGAGTTAATAACTGCTGCTTTTGATTCTGTAAAATATAGATGATTTCATGTTAGTTACACTAGGTTTTATAACCTGTATGAATCCTCATATCAAAATAGATCTTGAAAGATTATGTTATTAATTTGAACACAGATGTCTGTATATATTGATGTAGGTAAAATAACAGAATCAATTCAGACAAGTCTGGTGAGATGAATTTGGCAGAAATATCACTTGATCAAAAAAAACAAGCCAAATTTTTTAATCTGTGTCTGAAATTCTTTTCAATATGTATACACTCATTTCAAATTCGCTGAAATTTGATCTGTCATAAAGATGGTGTTTTTTTTAGCCAGAAGTCTTTTAAGGACCTACCTCTAACTCTGATTGAAGTTCAAGTTCCATCTCTTGATTTAAATTTTCTTTGTCTTTTTCTAGCTCACTCTTCATTTCCTGTTCTAAATTCTGTAACATTTTACGGTGTTTCTGTTCTAAAAACGTCTGCATCATAACATGGCTAGCAAACCTAAAATACATAAAGATACTAGCTTGTAAAATACCTTGTCTTTATTATGATCAGGTTCCAATTCCCAACAATAACTACAATAACCAATGCTCAAATAACATGGAACTTGGATATGGATTTCAGTTCCCCTTATTTCTACTGGTAACCACTATAAACCATATATAAACCATAAGGCTCACAACTAGTGAGTCACAAGTAAAATGTAATGAAACATACCCTTTTCCATGCATTGCCTGCAACTTGACTTCTTCTTCAGCTTCATCTTCTATTTGTTCTTCTAATTCCCTGTTAAAAACACAATATTATCATAAATTTTTCATTTTGTAATGAATTGTCTTGTTGCTTTGAACAATTTGACGTTTAACCACCTATATCATACAATAACTGTTACTAATTTTCAGGGTAAATGTGACAAATTCAGAAGTATCATAATTCATGCTAGATAGATTTAGGAAAAATGTCCAAATCAACAGCTATGGTATTTTTTTTAGAATTTTCATAAAAAAAAATTAAGTAATTAAAGATTACCTTTCTTTTTTAATTTTTTTTTGTTGAATTTTCTGGGCTAAACTCTGTTCTTGTTGTTCTCTAGTTCGTTGTATTTTTTGATTAAGATAAGTTACTTGGTTATAATGTTCTTGTATCAATTGTTCTGTCATTGATTTTGGCATATCACCTTCCTCAGTTACATGTTTCTCTAATTGTTCCTAGAATTACAAAATACACTAGCTATTTCTGATATTCTGTTACAAGGCTTTTGGTTACCTTC